TTGGTGGGATCGACAAATGAATCTCTTCATCATGTACTTTCATTCGAAATGAAGCTCCCTCTAACAAGTATAAGTGAGCTTTAATATCTTCTTGAGGCTTATTCAGTTGTTGGTGGGGAAAATTGAGCTATATGTTCTCCATTCTCCTGATTCGAAATGGAATTTAAATAATTTGTTAGTTACTCATTTATCGCCACTAGAATTCCAACCCTATTTTCGTCTTTTACAGTCAACCCTGTACCACCGTTTCTTTATCAGCGGCGCTGGTTCTTCTCCATCGTCTCTCTGTTGGTAACCCTGCTTGTCCTTCTTCTTCTCATTCTCATTGGCCTTTTATGCTGGGCTCTGGGTCTACGGTTTCCTCTTCGAATGTCACACTGTTGCCAGTCCCTCACGCTCCAGGCGGAGGCCTCGACGGTCGATGGTTCGGAATGTCAACCTCAGTTACCAGCCTCTCCTCTTCCCTCGACAGTCTTGTCCTCTTGCTCAGCCTTCCTACATGCTTTCCTTCCTTTTCGTGATGTCGGCTTTGCAACCTGGTCAGTCAAGCGTCATGGCAACCCAGGCCGCTTGACCTGTCCACCTTCGACTCATCTTTGCCCATGGTTGGGCAGTCTGTGCCACAGTCAACCCCGGACTGCCGGTAAATGGACCAGAGACGCCAGTTGTTGCAGCCTGGACCAAGTCAGTGACAATGTGCACTCGGTTGCAAGTTCGTCTGTGCCTCAAGAATTTGCGGCATGCGTGCAACCAAGGAGTCGGCAACATGACATACCCGCTGGGTGTTCGTACAATGGTTCTGCAAAAGAGGCATCATGTCCGGTGGCCGACAAAGTGGGCCAACATGTTGTCGACTGGTCCCTTCCCATGACCAAGTCAAGGACCCGGCCATATGATATTGGTATGGGCTTGTTATTAAGGCAGGACCCAGAAGACTACGACGAGTGGAACCGTCAAAAGAGGAAATTTCTATCTCTTTCTTGTACTAAGGCCATGGGCTCAGATCCAGGCAGAGGGTTTTGCCGGACGTCCATTGCTGCTAGCAAGGATGAGAATAGCCGGACTCTGGAGCTAATGGCTGCCGCACTGGAGGGGTCCCGTGCATGTAATTGCGTCAAATGTTGCTCCAACCTCACGGGCCAGTCGTGTTCAACCTGGTTGCCTTACAATGAAAGTGGCCTTATAGAATTCAGGAGTCCTAGCTCATCCTGCATTGCAGCCGCTCTCGTTAATCATCGTGTCACTTCCGCGAGTAGTACCAGCAGCTGCGCCAGCATTGGGTGTCTGAATAACATGAGCGTCTCCTCTACTGAGTCCGGCTCAGAAACCTCAGCGAATGGCAAACAGCATGGGGCGAAATTGGCCGAAATGGTCTGTCTAGGTGAGAATTCGGAGTGGATAATGAAACCTTGCAAGCAAGAACCTTTTGGCAGGGGTATTGCAAAAATTATCCATATTATGTAAATATTTTAAAAATTCTGAAAAATATAATTAGATTAAATTAAAAGTAATTATACATTTGAAAAAAACAAATTTAAATTGAATTATAAATAAAAAATATAAGCAATTTCTGAAATATTTTTGCAACAGAGTTGCCTTATCATCTTTTCTCGAGCTTAAACGCAGTAAATATGAGATAAAATGGCATTAAAGTCGATCTGAAAACTTTGTTATTTAAACGAAGGTATGAGGACCAAGATGGTGTGGCCTTTTGTGTGGTTGCAGTCTCCCTTCGTTGTATAGAAGTTGTTTGACGTTGATTTCGCAACTTGGTCATATTAGTAGGAAGACCTCGTTATTTAAAGCCGTGTATGCATGTGAGAAGGCTCAAATTAAGACTAACTATTGCGCAACGAACTGCCGTTATCGCCTATCTTTTACATTTTGAGAGGCTGGAAACAATGAAAAAATTTATTAATTAATTCGTTTTCTTAATTTCTTGGATTGGTAATAACTACCCAGTTAGCTTCACTAGGCTGATATTTAGTCCTCCTTAATCGCTCTTAACAATCTCCATGATTATGGAGGCAAAGGAAGAAAATAAAAAAAGAGATGCAGAGAACTATGCCGGTATTCAGTCGTTCGAGATAGTACAGAGACTGCCATTAAATACCACTCAGCCTTGATTGCAGAAAGGCTAGATTCCAGTCTTACGTTTGCCTAGTCCTAATCTGCACTTCCAAAAGGATTCGAAACCGGATCGTGTATATGGGATTGTGACAATGACATTGTGAGGCTTAAAAATAGCATTTTATCCACAGTTGATCGGACTAGGGCTTCGATACATATTTATACTGAATACAAGTAACGTCGTTGATTGCAGTCGCAAGTACATGTATGCTTATCCCGATAAGCTTGCCTTGAAAGTCGCATCTATCCTTGAACCATCGGCATCCGCAACTAAGTACTGGAGGGATAACGTCTCGTCACGATGTGCACAATCCAATTTCGAATGCCTTTAGGGGTTGAAGAGACATAAACTGCAGCCCACTCTGAATGAGAAAATCTTTTAAAGGCAAGACACTTCAAATCCAATGGCATCTTGAGGCCTAATTATATCATTCTGAATAGGTTTCTGTCGATTGTTATAGCAAATATCCCTTCATCAATAATCCCACCACATAATGTGTTATGGAAAAATGTCTGACCTTCCTTGAAATTCATATCCGCCCTGTGACCAAAGAGCACTCTTGACAATGTGGAAACGTGGCTAACGTGCCAAGATTATACGCTGTATTGTCATAGTTCGAGTCTCGCTGTGGGCGTTGATAAGCCATTGACAACGTCGAAACTGCAGTCCACCTTGGATGAGAATACCTTTTTGGATAAGCATGGCTATGGGAAATTCAATGGAAGCGTCATATCTACTCACATAATTGTGGGACATTCAACGACCACTCCCTTATCACTTGAAACAAAATAGGGTCAACACATCTCATATATCTAATTATATCATCTTGAGAAAATTTAACTATCCGTTTTTATATCGCCTTATGCGGCCTAGAGTTGCTATGCCCATATTAAAGAGTTACGTATAGTTGCGATAGATACCATTACCTAATTATATGCTTGATACAAATTGATAAAAATATAGAGTGTAATAAGAGTTGTTCCTTGATTGTGTTGCTTTCATAACACAGACTTATCAAATGCCCGTAAGACTCTACCTTTTAATCTTTACAGGAAATAGAAAAGATAATCGGTAATGCTATAACTTGAATCTTGGGGTCCAGTCATTTAATTTTGTGAAACCTAAATGTTCTTGCACCGCCTTATTCGATCTTGTGTTAATATTTGGGATGCATTGCTGGAGCTCTTGTCGATTATTTTATTTTGAGTATGTTTTCAAAAGTCTGTGATAAATAGTAACTTCAGTAATCCTAAATCACTAAAGGTTAGGTAAATTTGTCCCTGCAACACTCCCCCTGAAAAGAGGAAATGGGGGAGGCAGGATTTGCTTTGAGATTCTAATCTGCCGTGTGAACCAGTGGCACCTATGAAATGTAGCTCCATAAAAGAATCCTCCAATTAATTGATATTGGCTCATCTTTGATTTTGTTTGAAGAAGCAAGTTGAATGCCTCACTGGAAGCCGGAGAAAGAATGACTTGAAGCGGTGACCATAGATCTATGCGAATATGTCATCAGCGTCCTGTCCTCCGATCCCGATGAACCTTTGCTGAGGCATC